TTGATGAGGAGATAAAAGGATTAGAATTTGGAGTTATGTTAGATGCAATGCGCACGACTGAACTGCAGATGAAGCCTTTTGAATCTAGTGCCACCAATACGTCTTCGCAAAGTTCTGACAAGCTTTTTATAAGTACGTCGTCATGCAAACAAAGCGTCACTTTTCTACCAGAAGTTATCGCGAGTTAGAAATCGAGCTCTGCGGCTCAAAAGCATGCTTACCCCCATGGTAATGTTGAGTTCGTTCATCAATATCAGCGACTACGCCATGCTGATTCAAGCGCTTTTCACCATATTCATTGCAAGAGCTCAGCGAGTCCAAGGACCTTCCTTCGAGTTAGATAGGTGCTTGAAAATTTGGTGAAAAAGCAGTTTTTTGAAACAATGTGACTTTTCATGCGTTTTTGAGCAAAAAATGCAGTAACAATTTTCTTTTCAAGAGGCGACAGCTCTCAGGTGCAACAAATGTTTTACATTTTGATGCTGCAAATGTACAAAAAATTTCAGGTTTAAAGAATGTAGTATTGTTTGAAAATGGGAGGTGGCTTTATAGCTGTGGCCAGCCTTTGAGACACGATTTTTCAAATTTTTCATTTTTTCTTGGGCCAAAATCAATGAAATTAGGAGCCGTTCTGGTCAATGATATGACATTGGGTTTCGCACAGAATAGTGACTTTTCAGACAATTTCGCCCAACAGAGGGCAAATTACAGTGATTTTTGGGGTGGCTTTATAGCTATGACCAGCGCTGTAGAGTGTTAGAAGTTAGTGATAATTCCGCATTCTTGTCGCGTCTCAATAGTAATGACGAACCCATTAGAGCTCAGCATGATATGTTGATAAAAGTTTCTCAAGAAATAGCTGATACCCCATTAGTGACCAAAACTAAAAGATGGAGTAGAAAAAAGTTAGAAGTTGCCAATAGTGGTAGAAAAACTGTTTGTTGCAGGGCCACGGCATCGGAAACTGGTAATTCGGCATTAAGCCTGTTTCACGTCTGTCCTGGACACGATACGATGATATGGATTGTGATAAACGAGGGAGGACTTTTGGCGACATGGTGCCCGGCGCAAATCGGTGATTTCGACATTGCCGATCATATTTTCATTAGCTCGCTTTATCTCCGTCTTCGAACAGGAAAGAGATGCCGATGAAAGGTTTTTTTTTTGATGAAAGACAAGATCCACGTCTTCGTTACAACATCTAGATCACATAAAGCATATGTCTATTTCAAAAGGCAAAGTCCACACACCATGCGCGATTTAATGCGCCACGACGGCAGCAGCTTATTGATGAGACATGACGGCAGCGTGGGATTGACAATCGACCAAGTTAACTCACTGACGAACGAAGGAGTCAGACTCGCCATGACGCATTCTTGGACAGACGTAAAAGTCGAGAAGAAGAAGGAAAAGTCTCTATTTTTACTTGTAGGATTCACATGGTTCAAGTATGCAGTACAGTTCGGAGAACATACCACGCCATTCATTTATAAGAGTCTGTCGCAAGAAGCTGCGGGATCTACAAAAACCGTATAATATAGTTTTCGTCGGACCTACAACGCAAGATACACCTGAAGGAGAGTGGATGAGGCTTAGTCTGAGCTTTACAAGCGTAGCACGGGCCGGCTCCAAAATCGTCGCTGTAGCACCACAACGAGGTGAAGCTGAATGGGAATCGACGCGGCTGAAAGTAATCGACTTGAACACAGTAAGGGATGCTGCGTACGCCAGAAGAGCCAACGTCGTAACAAAAATACCACAAGCTTCATCTGTGACCGAGCCAGCACTGGCAGTTGGCATAAGGGCGAGGAAAAACGAATGGACCAGATATCCGAACACAGTGACCGGGGATTTCTTGAGCACGCTTGTTGACTATGTGAAAGGGGAAATACCCTTAGAACCAATTCCAGAAGTACATAGGCAGAAAGAAAGCAGACACCGCCAAGCGGAACACCATCAACATAGCAATCGCGCATATAATGGATTTGGATATCGCCCATAAACTCGAGGCTCAAATAGAGGATATCGATGTATATCAAACGGCGGACCATAAAGAGAACCAGGACATGGACCAGAGATTGGTCGTGGCCGCGCGCATCGACATCCAGGAAGTAGATCCGAACGAGGACGAGGAAGATATTGGGGTTACCAATTACCAAGACCTTATTGAGTGTCGGGGACGCCACTCAATGTAGGGAGGGGGGAGATGTAACCGTTGTTGTTATTTTTGAGGTACGGTAGCTTTCATTTTCTTGAGTAGGCTAAAAGATTAGCTTCACAGAGTTTTTTGGGTAAGCCGCTAGGTACTTAGGTAAGCCGCTAGGTACTGTTCTGTTTTGTTTTGTTTTTGTTACTACTTAACGTGGATCTCTTTTCAATTCTTAGTGTCGATGGTAGGTCTCTATTTCAAGGGTTGATGTATTCTTCTATAGCAGATCAATGGGCGCTGCAAAACGCGGAACCTTTTGATCTTCATAACCTCCGCCCGCTTTTGCTCAGTGATTTCCTTAGTCTTTGTTCAGTCCTTGCGTAGGGTTTGCGTTGAGTTTTTTTGTTTATTGCTCAGTTTTGTTTTTGTTGTTGGTTGCACCGATAAAGGGTCGGTCTCTTTATTGTGCAGTGAGCCTAGGCTATCCGCTAGTCACTTAGGCTAACATCATCTGAACACACTCAAATCAAGTTTTGAGGTCCAGATACTTTATGAATTCATGGTCAAATTACATCGAAAATGACTATGAGCATTCGTCTATAATTCCCTTAATTTTCAGCATAGGCCGTGGAATTTGGTGCTTTGGTCACACATGTTTATCTAACCGTTCGGCAGTTAAGAAGAGTGTCTTGTTTCCGGCAGATCAAAACAGTTTTTCTCTCTTTCATAATTTTCAAGATGGATTACATACAGGGCTTATCAAACGCAGTGCTTGCATCAGCATCTCAACTCCTGCGCTGGACTCCGCGTCTCTTCCGCGAACATGCTCTCTATTCATTTCCAATCGATTGAGGCTCCGCCTTTCCCGCGCTCGCTTTGGGAAAGTGATCAGAGAGCATGTTCGCGGAAGAGACGCGGAATCCAGCGGGGGAGTGGAGATGCTGATGCAAGCGACACTGCGTTTGATAAGCCCTATAAAGCCTTGAAGGACATCAAACGCTGATTCCAAATCTGTCTTCCATATCTGCGGAGCGCCTCTGAGTAAGGAGATATGGGCGTTTCAAGCGCCAAAAAATTTGACCCGTGGCAAGGTTAAAATCGACTGTAACAGCCTTTACAACTCACAGATGGAATAGTGTTGAGTAAGGTATAGTATACGGAAGTAATTCTTAGCACGGAATGATTTAATAGACAACACCCCTCCATTCAAGCTCACGGGGAACTCCCATGATGACTTCTTTCTTCTCGCCCCAAAAACGTCCATAACTCCTTGCGCAAAGGTGCTCCGCGGATGAGGACGACAGATTTGGAATCAGCGTTTGATGCCCTTTAAAAAAATATGTTATTCATCTGAAAAGGTCACTTCGACCAAGGATCCTTCCCTGGTAAGATACCTTGGAAATGAGAGAATCAAAGCAATTCTATCGTCTGTCACTAAGGCGTGTAGGAACTCGTAACTTGCCTTGCCAGACTGTATTTGCAAAACAAAGTGAGTCTAGAATGTTAAGTACAACAGCCAAATTCCATGTACTTAAAGATGAGAAAAATATCGACGAATAGCCTACCATAGTCATTTCATTAGGTTTTTTTTGCTGAAACTGGAATTTTTCAAGAACTAATGCATATCCAAAGCCAAAATTTTATGGTTAAAGTTTCGAAGATTTGTAGTATATAACGGCATACATGGGAGGAGTGGAGGATCACTGGGGAGGAGTTTACCATTTCTCTTTTTCGATTATTTCTCAGTTACTAAGCATAAAAAATGTAGCAAGTGTACATATGGAAAATTGCATGTGTCTGTTACTGCAGGAGCAAGTGTAAGGTTCGTAGGATTTTTTGGGCAGAAATGCGATTTTTGTGCCATGAGCTGCTCTTATGTTCTGGTTCCAAACTTTGGTAAATCACGGTTTCTGCCATTGTTCAAAGGTAATCTAGAGCTTCCTTTGTCTATCGAATGGTGCCCCTCAATATTTATTTGAATCCTATTATTGCTCTGCTGAAAAACGACATTCTTTTCTTTCCAACCAAATATTTCGAACCATATGTTCACGAAGTATTGAAACCTCAAAACCTTCCGTGCGTTCAAAAGCCAGTCTGCAATAACTACGGCATAAACCTCTAGTGTCGCATATTCCAACAGGTCTCGATTGTATAGTGGACACAACATCACTCCAGTAGGCTCGCGCGACATGTGCATTAACACGTTTCGGACCGGTGCTGCACATGGTGCAGCACCCCTGCTTTGAAGGATCTTTCTGGCGTTTACGGGAGGTTTTTTTAGTCCAAGGTTATCAAGTCATAGGTCCAAGCTTCTACTTTCCAAGTGACTCTGTGAACTTGTGCCTCCGACATTTGTATAGGAGATATGAGCACGAATCTGCCGACAGTTGCAACGGAGCGCGGCAACGCGAACGACGCGTGCGACGTCGCAACTTTCCCTTCGATATCAAAGAGAAAAACCGTGGTGTCACTACTAATGTTTACCGTCTACAACATAGATACTTTTGGATACTATTAGAAACTGAGTTCTTGTTCCCATCATTCAAGAAAGCACGGAGCCCTTCACAACCGACAAATTTCAAACACTTATAATCCGCTCAGAACTTTGGGGAACTTATCTGACAAGCTGATGACATATGTAGCACACAGTCTGCGAAGTAAGGTCCCTTTGTTGGCTAATGGCTGAAAGTGCATTCTATTTCGCCGCGCGCGATTTCGCGGTCCGAAACGTGTTAAGAGCAATAAGTTAGCAAAAAAGGCAACTTTGCAGAAATATATTGATAGCATTACTGTCCAAGGCTTCAATGGCATATATGTATACGAAAGTTATCAACAATATGAGGATGCTTACTTGCAGATAGCACATCCTCAACATTGGAATGAATATAAGCTTCCGAAGAACAGAGATAAGTTCTCAACGCAGAATAGTTATCTGTACTGATTTTCAATTGGTATCTTCCTGTCGGCGATAGATCGGCAAGCTGAAATGAGTCAATAACTGCAACAGCGAGGTCCCTTTTTGCTTACCTCAATGCTACAGTGCGTATCTGGTAATGATTTCACGGCTACTAAAGTCTGTTCCTTAAGTGTGTCCAAACTTCGCAAATCTCGAATTCGCAAGTATCTAAGTGGATTTTGCACTTACGAAAGCTCATGGCCGGTATTCAAGATACCCACGCGTAAGGACTGCTTGTCGGGTCTTCCCTTAGAAGCTTTACAGCGGACGTCAAGTCAAGCAATACAGCGTCAAGCTCGATCTCTTCTGCTTGCAAATCTCTACAATCCTTCTTCAATGCATCAAGCACAGAAGCGTCACCATCGTTTGTTCTACACATCTCATCAGGTATATTGTTGCACAAAATTAATATCAGCAGTAGTAGTACTCCCATACACTCACTTCCATCTTATGCTATTCTTGCCAATCTTCTCAACTAAATTGATTCCTTCAAGCACATTAGTGATATCGTACAAACGACGTTTTGGAACATTGAGTTCTTCTGCAGCATTGTTCAAATTAACAGTCTGAAGAACATCTTTTGAGAAACCTGCGTCTAGCGAAGCAAATGACCTACATCATTGACGTTCTTCAACGCCATGAACTTCTTCGTGGTCACAAGAAGAGAGTTGTCTACACGTGTGTTCCCATGGTCTGAAAAAATTATCAAACTCTTATAATTTCCATGCTTTAAACCTGGGCATTGTTCGTAATCGGAACTCTGCTTTGCCGAAGCAGCCGAGTGAATAAATGCTTTACCGAAACAGCCGAGTGGATAAACTTGCCACCATAACAACACTGTTCGGCAAAGCAGAGTTCTAAATAATCAAGTTGTTGATTAAGAGCCGCATGCATTAGTATTCAAGCTGAGGAGGAAAGCAATTGAATAAGCTTCATATTTTGAAACTCTGGACAGCTAGATTTCTCGCTGTCTACGCATCCGCAAGTGTTTTTACTACTGCACTATAAACATATCAAACAAGAGCGAGAGGTTGTACCCGCAACCCAGATTTCCAGCTTTTTGTATGATCGCCTGATGACCCCAGCAGCCGACCGTCTTTTCGTCAGAGTCACTTTTCTTTATTCAGAGTTTATAAAATCATCCCAAAGTTGTAATGATTATTTGCCCAACAGTGCTGAAAAAGAAAGCATGTTAAGTCGAAGTGGCGCCTTTTAACACATTGACGACCGCTTGACACACATGGTTCAAGGCTTGAAACACCATGGCCCTCATTGGAATGGCTACTAATTTGTGTCAAACCACCTCTGGGAGTTTTCTCTTATTCCGGATCTAGATACAATTTCTAATGTTTTTGCCAGCATTCCAGCGCTACTGTAGGTGTACTGTAGATGAAAGTATGCGTGATTTGATCTGAAAAATGTTGGCTGGTCCAAGAAAGGCTTTGGTCGTCAATGTGTTAACGCATTCACGACAATACGACCCACCGGTGGGTCGTATGCTTTCTGAAGTTTTTTGATTTTGCTAGTTCACGATGGAACTTTTTAGACAAGCCGAGTAAACTTCTGCATACATCTCTCAGAGTACTTCCCAAAAGATTAACACTTCAGACCACAGGGCCCATCAGTGACCTAAAAATATTCCAAAAACTCAACTTTGCGAAATATGCTCTGGTCCGAAATGGCAGTCAGCGAAAAATCGGCCCTGTCGTGAATGTGTTAAGATGGGACATGTACCATACTGGACGGCATGAAACGCTGATTCCAAATCTGCCTTGCTAATCTGTGAAACATTTATGGATAGGAGTTATGGCGCATATTGAAAAAAAAAGCTGAACGTGCAAGTAGGACGAAAATAGTCATAATATTTTTCCTAGCGCTTCAAAGCAGTGATGATTATCAAAGCATTTTTTTTCAGTAAATGCACTAGGAGAAAAAAAATATGACACTTGGTTGCTATATTTAAAAGTTAGTAAGAACTTAGCAAATCATTTCATCCTAAGTGCACATTCATTTTGCTAATAAACGCTCATAACTCCTCGTCCACAAGCAAATTTGGAATAAGCGTTTAAAGCCCTTTGATACCGTATATATCCCATCTAAGAAAACTTCGATTGAACATGCTCCCTTGTAACCTTTGATTCAACTGGCTTGGCACCATTAGGGCGGGGTTTTGTGATCTAACTGAGGCCGCTCGCGCCCGCGACGCACCTGCGTCTCTCTCGCGCGAGTGCTCTCTGATCATTACCTAGCCTCAATTAGGTCACGAAGCCCCACCTTTGCCGAAGCCAAGCCAGTTGAATCAAATGGTAAGCATGTTTCTGGTAAGAACAAATGAGTTATGAAGATGTTAAAAATTTCCATGAGCCCGTGGTGCTAATGCATGCAGCCCTAGGGCCCGTATGCATAAAAATCATTGCAACGAAATGAGCGACGTCCCTAGTGATGAAAAAAGCGCAGCGGCGTTTGCCCGCAGTCCCTTCTTAATGGGTTGTTTCATACTGCCGCACTGACTGCAGCAGACTGCAGCTGACCGCACTGACTGCAACGGCCGCACCATCGTTGCATTCTTTCGTAAAAGAGAAAATAGTTGCGAATACATCAAAACAGTGATTTACTAGAAAATTCATAGGCTCTAACTTACTCTTCTCAATCAGATTTTGGCGATTGTTTTTCTTTAATACGCTTATATTCGTTCAGATTCTTTTTGTCATTGCATATACCTATTTTACTCCCGCTCGTGCTGTCTATTAGGGCATATATTGTTAAAAGACTGTTTGAGCTACAACTATTTATCCTCCCCACATTCACGAAAGGATGTAGCGATCTGTGCGGCTCCGCGGCCAATGCGGTCAGCTGCAGTCTGCTGTAGTCTGCTGCAGTCAGCTGGGGTCAGTGCGGTCAGCTGCAGTCTGCTGCAGTCTGCTGCGGCCAGTGCGGCAGTCTGATACAACCCAATGAAGGACGCCGCTCCCTCGCCGCGGGGACTTTCATGTGTACGGGCCTAAGTCTCACAACTTTTTTCTTTCTGAATATGATGTGCACTCAGACTTTGTCATTATGTTGATGATGACGTAAGCACAAGTGCAGCTACCGTTTTGCCAAATTCTGGTGCAACGATGATTGCGGAGTAGGTGTATAGTCTACGGCTCCGTCCAGAGTGCGGAATATGTGCCGGCGCTAAGACCCCTGCTGTCTCGAAGCGGCACAGGCTACCGTAGTGTTCGATGAAGATTTCGATCAACACCTGGCTGGGAACGGTCTATATGCCTCTCCTCCAACGAAATGACCGTATGTTGATCGAGATCAAGCACGACGCTGCTAAGCTTCGTCTAGAGTGCTGGAGCCTAACAAAGGAAGCATGGTATGTTGAAGTGGCCTTTTGAAATGGTTTGTAAACCATCTTCTAGGACTTGGAACGCTAGTTCCAGATCTGTCCCCTTTATCTAAGAAGCGTTCCTGTACAATGAATTATAGGCGTTTTTTGGAGGAGAAAACTGTATGCGCGGCTAGCACATAATTAGTTGGCGAGCTCTTTCCAGCGCATCGGAGTGTGAATACCTTTTATCTAAGGGCCGCATACATTAACCTCCCCGCTGGGGAGAGGATCGCAGCTTACAAAAAAGCTTCATATTTTGAAGCTCCAGATATCTGGATTATACGCTGCGTGCCTATCCGTAAGTATTCCTACCTTCCTTCACTATGAACATGTTGAACAGAAGCGAGAAGCTGTCCAAGCCGCGTTTTCCAGCATTTTGTATCCCCTGATGATTCCCTGCGGCCGACCATCTTTTCTTCAAAGTAACTTTTCTTTCTTCGAAATCAACGAAAACTTTCCAAAGTTGTACTGAACATCTAACACAACAGTGCTGAACATGTTGCTGATAAGAACAGATGAGTTTTTGAAAAAGCGAATTTTTCGATAAATCCCAACATTCGACTTGTGGTTCATCGCAAACTTCATGACTCCAATACATCCTTTGTTCTTATCAGCAATATGCTTAGCAATGTTGAGTTAGATAGTCAGTACAACTTTGGAATGTTTTCATTAACTTTGAAGAAAGAGAAATGACTTTGAAGAAAAGATGGTCGGCCACAGGGGATCATCAAGGGATACAAAGTGCTGGAAAATGCGGCTTGGACAGCTTCTCGCTTCTGTTCAACATGTTCATAGTGAAGGAAGGTAGGAATACTTACGGATAGGCACGCAGCGTATAATCCAGATATCTGGAGCTTCAAAATATGAAGCTTTTTTGTAAGCTGCGATCCTCTCCCCAGATGTTAAAGGCAGCGTCCAGGCAGATCTGGACCTATGGCGATTTTACGTGGAAAGTATTTTTGGGGCCCTTACTAAGGCGTACAAGGAAGAAGATCAGCAATGGCAAAGTACAGGACAAAGCACACCAAAAACTACAACCTGCATATTCTGCGACGCCACGGATCACAGAGCAGTCGACTGCAGGATTTACGACACCATAGATAAAAGGTGCAAACTTATGCAAGAAAAGCTGCTATGCCTTAATTGTGGAGGAAACGACCACTACGCAAGAAATTGTAGCAAAGAAGGGTGCAAAATTTGTCAAGGAAAGAAGCACCATTTTACCCTTTGCCCAAAACGCTTCGCAAAAATGGAGGTACAAGAGAGACCAGAAGGAAATAACAACAGACAGCAAACATTATGGCAAGCACCATCACAGGCACCAAAAGCCGACGGAATGAAGCAGCAAAGGAGCAAAAATCAGCAACATCCAATCAAGGCAACAGTTGCAAAAGGATTAGACATTGCCGAAGGAGGGAAGGAACCTACAAGTATCTTTCACATGGAAAAGAGGAGTGCCTTCAGTGGAGAAGGGCCGGTACTACTCCTCACTGGTTGTGCAAAGATATATAACTTAGTTGACAGAGGATGGACCGAGGTCAAGGTACTATTCGACACTGGTGCGGATCGGTCATTCATCAGCTCAAGTTTGGCAGCCAGACTCAATCTGAAAAGCTTAGGGAGAGAAAGCTTTCAAATCTATACCTTCGGTTCACATGAGGCAAAATCTACAGTTTGCGAGATCAGGCAGCTAAACCTTAAGGAAAATGAAGGAAGAAGACATACTTTACTCTTGTATGCAACCCCTATGACAGGGAAGGGAAAAAGAGTGGATTTGTGTTCAGAAGATCTGGAATTTCCAGAAGCACGTCAAATACCTTTTTCCGCGCTAAACACGAGAGAGCCTAATCCACAGATATTATTGGGCTGTGATCAGCTGTGGAACTTCTTGAAAGTTTCGGCACCAACATTTACGCTTCCGTCAGGCATAATGCTGGTTCCGTCGAAGCTTGGATATCTTATTACAGGAGGGCAACTGAACAGTTCTCTCAAATCAACTGGAAAGAAAGATGGAAATTCTTCCCCTATTATCCAAGCACTCACTAGTTCGTGCGATTACAATGAAGACAGAGAAAGATGGGATAAATATTGGATTATGGATTCATCAGGAGTAAATTTTCAGGAACTAAGAATGAAAAAAAGGCTGTCAATCAAAGGAAAGTGGAAGAGTTTTTCAACTCGACAATTGAGAAACGAGCAGACGGCTAATACGTACGCCTACCATTCAAAAAATCACATTTACCGCTGCCGACTAACAAAGCTATTGCAACGAAACGCCTGGTTAACATATTGCAGTCTTTGAAGTCAAAATCAGATC